GGGGGGCGGAGCGGGGGCGGGGAAGCCGGGCCGGGCTTGATTAGTCAGGAGGCAGAGGCGCGCCGGCGGCGCCCGGAAGTAGCCGAAGCGAGCGGCGGAAGTAGCCGAAGCGTCCGGAGCGGGCGGGCGGCAAGGCGAGGCGAGAGCTGCACAGGGCCCTACGCGGCCGCCTCAGCATGTCGGACTTCGACGAGTTCGAGCGGCAGCTCAATGAGAATAAGCAAGGTGAGGGCGCGGGGGATGCGGGACGGCGGGCGGGGCGGCTCCTGGTTTCCCTCCGCGCCCCCCGCCATTTTCCCGTCGCTTCCCCCTCTCCGGGCCGCGCGGCCCCCCCCACCAGGCGCGCGCGCCTAGCTCACGTGACAGCCCGGCGTGTCTCCGCGCGCGGGAGGGGTGGGGACAACGGGCGCGGGTCTGTACGCATGCGCGCCGCGCTCGGTTCTGCGCCCCACGTGGTCCTGGCGGAGGTGGCGTGGACTGGAGGCATTGCCTGGTGTTTCCTTGTGGACTCTTATTTTTGCTAGCCTGGGCAGGAGAGTATGTATGTAAACATAGTGGGTTCGTGGTGCGCCTTTTCTCCCGCTGCCTGGGCACTTCCGCTTCCGGCCGGCCTGTGGCCTGGTTCTCCACGCCCCCTTTGTTCCAAAATGGCGGCTGGGAGACCCCCCCCCACCCGCACGTGGGCGCTGGTAGGGCTGTGTCGTGGGCCGGTTCTTCCGCCGCTGCCGTTTGCGCCGTGCCCTGCCGACTCCTCCCGAGGGGTCCTCCGCTCGGGTCGCTGGTCTTGAGCCTTGAGTAACTGCGTATGACGTGGGTTTCCTCGTAAAAGGGGCGGCCTGTGCCTTAACGTGTTCCTGCTACTCGCATACGTCCTGCGTACACGCGGGTTTTGGCATTGGCGATGATCGCAAATGTGGGCTGTGTGTCTCCTACCTCTTCCCAGCTAGATACAAACACCCCGTCTTGTCCGAACCCAAACTCAAGGCACCTAGAGTCAGTCTCATAAATCGTCTTAACGTAGAGATGAGGAAGCTGAGGCTCAGAGTAGGGGGACTTGGGCTACTTGGGCTACTTGGATACTGTAGCGGCAAGAACCCTCAGGTGATGCCGAGCTAAGCCCAGGGCCCTGAGAGTGCCTATCAGTTTAGGGACTGAGAATCCTGGAATTGGGAGTCAGATGTTTAAGAATTTTCTGCCCTATTTAGGTTTGAAAGCGAAGAAATTTAGGCGTAGGGAAGTTGGGGGACTTGAGGCTTAAGCTGCCCGTGTTTGAAGGGCTGAATGAGGGCTCAGAACTTCGTTTTTGAACCCAGTCTAGATTTGGGTAAGTGGTGTCTGGCTCAGGAGACTGCCTGGAGAAGTCGGAGTGCCCACGGGGTGTCTTGTCTTTGCATTGTGTACTTGTTAAGCACAGGCTTGAGAGTTGATGGTGCCCAGCTTCAGATAGCTGCTTTGTTGCTTAGCTTGGACTGCTGTGATACTTGTGTTTGTTTTCGTCTGAAGATTGGCCAGTACCCTTTTGTCAGGAGTTTTGGGAATTCAGGGCGATAGCAATGAAGGTGGTAATTAAACTCTGAGCGCCTGCCGCGCCAGGCACCTTTGCTAAGGTCTTGGTGTGGTTTTTCTGAGTGGATCCTTGTAACAGCTCCAGGAGGCTGAAATGATTTTCTCCTTTTTGCAGAGTAGGAAACAGGCTGAGAAAGCTTAAAGACTTTCTCAGGTCTGGTCAGAGGCAGAGCTTAGGTTAGATGGGGTAACGTGTGTGAAGTGTGTGGCATGTGGCTTGGCATGCATTAAGTGCTTGATGAGCAGTGCCCTTCCTGTGGAACCTTCCTGCGCCTAGGACATTCTCAGTTGGAGGAGGACTAGAGAAGCAGGTCTCCAGCTCACTCAGAAGTGGTATCAGTTGGGGAAGGTGACTTCCAAATTTCATTCTGCCAAGTTCTCGCGCACCTGGGGGTAGACGTGGCGCTCATTTAAAGAAAAGAAAACCAAGTTTTAAAGATTTAGTTGTTTTTGTGTGGTTATCTATATACATTTAGTAAGGAGAAAAGTTGGGGCTGACTCTCAGTTCTGGTTGATGGACCCACCAGGTGGAGCTGGTTGAGCCCTACCTTGGGGCTCCTGTAAATGTGCTGCCTGAGTGCTCGGCCCTTGCACGTCACCTGGGTTGGTGACACTGTCCCCACAAGATGGTGACAGCATTTTTGAACAACCAACATTTCTTTCTGTTCTTATCTGTGCAGGATCTGTGTATGGGGGGGACAACTCTTGCCTTAGGGGGAAGTGCTACCCCTTTGTCCTCTTGCCTGTGGGGCTTTGTCTCTGAGCCAGCCTCCTCTTGACTTGAGCCCCCGCCTATTGCACCTGTGTCTCCAGGGAATTAATTTCCTGGTCGGTGTCCCAGGCACCCAGCAGGCATCACTGCTTCCTGTGTCTGTCTGACCTGCCTGCTGTCTTTTGCAACAGGAAAGGCTCCTGGGGCTTGTGGCTTGCCCGTATCTTGAGCATGGAGCCAGAGACCCACAGCCGCCTGTTTTAGGAAGCGTCCCACCGCCTGCTGCTGTGTCTTTCCCTTTCTTAGGTGCATGTTTTTCCTGAGTTTCAGTGGTTTCAGAATTGAGATGTATTTGTAAAAAGTTCATGTTTGGTTATATCAGAAAAATAAAAGGCAGGGTGCAGATCAGGCTAGAGTCCACTCTGAGGCTCTCTCCTTATTGCCCCAATTGCCTCTTGTCTTCAGGAGTGTGGTGACGTTCGTGAGCACGAGAATGGGGCCTGGTGGGTAGTTCAGGAATCAGGGGTGTCTTTGAACCCAGGAAGTAAAGTAGAAGGCAGAGTTCAAGTTCCCCATGCTTGGGGTTTAGCCTGCACCTCCTCCCGTGGCTGAGAGCCCTGTTGGGAGCACAGGTTTCTGTGGCTTTGCTGGCAGGGCAAGCCCAGCCAGCCCGTAGTGTACTGTGTGCTTGGCTTTGAGGCAGGATGGGCTGTCCTGGGGTTCAGGTCTGTGTGGGGTGAAAAGGGGCCTCAGGGTGGGCATCCTGGTTGGGAAGGGACGGGTGGGGTTTCCCTGCTTCCTGCCCGGCTCCCAACCCTGGGCCTGACAGTGGGACTGTGGGCGCATCTGGTTGATTGAAGAGGTCTTTCCTGAGGGGCCGTGGGTCCTTTCAGGAAAACATCATTGGGTCTCTTGGTTCCCCAGCCTCTAGCCCTGCCCCTCTCAGGGACGACCCTGGGGTCAGGCCCCTCAGCCCTCGAGGGGGACCAGGAGCCAGCCTCCTCTGTCTTCTCTGGCTCCCCAGCTCCTCCTGAGCAGCCTCAGGTATCTTGTACCCCGGGGGCATTTCCAGGCCCTGTCCCCTCAGGTAACCAGTTCCCATCCCGTGGTCCCCCAGGGTCCCTGGACTGACTCGTGGACCCAGGAAGGGTCCCATCTCCATTGAGTCCCATCTCCATTGAGTCCCGTCCCCTGGGGGTGGCTTCCCTGGGGCTGGGGCAAGGCCACCAGTGTGGGTGGGCTGGGTTGCACCCTCCCTGAGCTCACCCCTTCCCCTTTGCCCAGAGCGGGACAAGGAGAACCGGCACCGGAAGCGCAGCCACAGTCGCTCTCGCAGCCGGGACCGGAAGCGCCGCAGCCGGAGCCGCGACCGGCGCAACCGGGACCAGCGCAGCGCCTCCCGGGATAGGCGGCGACGCAGGTACCCCACACAGTGTGGTGGGCCAGCCAGAGGGGGCAAGGGTGGCCTTGTGCAGACCGTGTGCCCCTCCTTGAGGCTGCTCTGTCTGGGGGTGGGGTCTGCTTCTTGGCTGTTGCCATTTCAGTTTTTCTTGTATTGTGGGTTCCCACAGTTTCTAGGGGGTTGTGGGGTTAGCAGTTCTCTATCTGGGAGACGAGCCTGGAGACAGGGTGTGGATTCTGTCCTTTCTTTCTAATGGGCTGCCCTGCCCCCAGTCTCTCTCTGACCAGCTTAGGGGCTTTGCTCTGCCTCTCAGAAGTGGGAGAGGGAGGCCTGGGGGCAGGGCAGCACCTCACTTGTGTGTTTGGGCTCTAGCACCTCTTTTCCTTTGTCTTCTTTGCCCGCTTAGGTGAGGAAGAGGGTGGGTGGAGGTCCTGCTTTTCTCTCTTCAGACTCCCCTAGTAGATAGTGTCTGGCTTTTTCTCTGTCCTTACTTTCTTTTTTTTGGGTGGGGCTTGGAGGGAATGGCAGGGCTGAGGGGGCCTGCTAGCCCCATGTTCCCCTCGGCCCTGCCCCCCAGCCCTGGGCTCAGTGCCCTTGGGGGGGGTGTGGCATGTGGGGAAGATAAGGGTCCCCAGTCACCCCTCCCCACGCCTCTCCCTCCTGCCCCCAGCAAACCTTTGACCAGAGGCGCTAAAGAGGAGCACGGTGGACTGATGTGAGCTGCTCTTCCTGCCCCCACCCTGACGTCCACCCCGTCTCTCCCACCCTGGCACCCCTGTCCTTCCCTTCCTATCCAGCCCTGGCCCAAGCACCTACCTTCAAGCCAGCCTCCTGCCCCCCAACCCCAGGCCTGGGCGTGGCTGACCCAGACCCTCTCCCTGTGGAGAGAGTGGGCTACTGCTGGGAGCCGGGGGGCCCGGGGGTCTCACAGGCCCGCTGAGGGCTGGACTGAGGTGGCCCTGCCCGCTCTCCCCTCCACCCTCCCCCAGTCGCTCCCCCCGCCATGAGAAGAAGAAGAAGGTCCGCAAGTACTGGGACGTGCCACCGCCTGGCTTCGAGCACATCACCCCTATGCAGTATAAGGCCATGCAGGGTAGGCGCTGTGGGCCAGCAGGCCGACCCCCAGTCTGGGCTGAAGTTTGTACCCTGGGATTTCCTGTCTCTGCCCTTTTGAAGCCCCTATGGTGGAGTGGGGAATGAGAGCTCTCCACAGGGCCACAGTCAGGGGACGTGATTTCTCAGAGGCAGTAGGTCTTTTGGGGGCCACTTTCCCCCGGAGGCTGAGAAAGGGGGCCTTGGGTATAGGGGTGGTCCTGGAGCGTAGGTCCAGGAGTGCCCTGATGCCGCTTGATTTTTTTCTTTTCCTCTTGAAGCTGCGGGTCAGATTCCAGCCACTGCCCTCCTGCCCACCATGACTCCGGATGGTCTGGCTGTGACCCCGACGCCAGTGCCAGTGGTCGGGAGCCAGATGACCAGACAGGCCCGGCGTCTCTATGTGGGCAACATCCCCTTTGGCATCACTGAGGTACTGCCCTACCCGCCCTCCTTCACCCCC